CACCGCTCTCCGATGCCGCCGAAGAAGATGCCGAAGGTCAAGTCCGGCTTCTTCGACGTGAGGCAGAAGCCCTCCAGTAACTGGGGAGTGGAGTTCTCCAATGCCGGGAGGCGTTGGTGGATCGGCACGTACCACTCCGCCCACGAGGCCGCGCGTGCCTACGACGTGGCGGCGTGGCGTGCCGGGAGCACCTCAACTTCCCGGAGATCGAGAGTCGGGTGGAAGCGGAGATGCTTGTGCCGCAGGGCATCAAGATGAAGGAGATCACGACGAAGAATAAGACGATGAAGAAGCCGTCGGTTTTCATCAATGCCGGCGAGACCGACGAGGAGGCGATGGCGAGGTTTGCTCGGGAGCATCCGGAGTACGTCCAGGCCGAGCTGGAGCACTACTGGAAGCGTGAGGCGGAGCAGAAGAAGAAGGAGGACGAGGCCGGTCCCTCGACGATGATCCCCATCGAGTCCTCTTCCGAGGAGGACTGGGCAGACTTCAAGGAGGAGGAGGAGGAGGAGGGGTGCGACGACCTGGAGAAGGACGAGTTCTGGGAGCAGTTCCGCAGCTCCGACGATGAGGAGTAGTTTATCTAGTAGTTTGAATAATTAGTAGTTGAAGTTTATGTATGAAACTATGTTGAATTTGATGTTTGAACTATGTTGAATGGACTAGTAGTTTGTCGTTTTAAAAAATTTACATCTTTATTTTGGACCATCTATTAGAGTTGCTCTTTTGGGCCATCAATTTGGACCATTTGTTGGAGTTTGAGCTTTTTTCGAAGCTCCAAAACGCACTTTTTGCTGGTCTAAATTTTACATCTTTAATTTTGGACCGTCAAATTTTGGACATCTGTTGGAGATGCTCTAAAGTAGCGTTGGCAGATACTCATGGAATTATAGCTTAGCTAGCTTGGGCGGCCAGGCCAGAAATAGCATTAAGAAGAGCCTGACACGCCACTGCTTGCTTCGGTGCGTGTGAGAGGGGCATGCTCCCAAGACCGATCGATCGCTGTAGGCATAGATGCATAGATTGTGTGCTGTGACCTGGAAATGGTCAATGATACGTTCGATCCAGCGGACTGCAACGTTATGCGTATTAATGGCCTCTTCAGATTAGATGTGGTGCGTATACGTGCATGTTATGGCTGCCTGAACTTGTTGGAAAGATGCGTTTGTCGCATGCCTCTCTTATGATCTCTGAATCCATCGATCGAGACAACACATTTGATAGTGCCTGAAGCTCTGAGAGATTGTGGACACACGTAGTGCACATGTTGTAGTATATAATGTGTGAACATGTCAAAGTATAATTCAAACAATATGACCATTTGTGGCTGAAAAAGAAACATTCATACATGCACTACAGTATGACATATAAGTTTCTGAAAGGATGGCACTTAGTGGTTGATGTGTTGTCGAAGTGAGAACTTGCAGCTTTTGGTTTCTATTGATAGAAATAGGGAAGGCCGGTTTATATTTATTATAAAAATATAACTTTTCCCATAGATGCTTGCGAATGGTCATACTTTTTATGAAATTTTAAAAGTTTAAATTTTATAACATAGTTCGATCACATCCAATATATATTATCCGTTTTAGAACTTGTGGTGCCTCAGTATGGCAGTAACTTCTAGGTTATTATAGTCATGAGCTAACAATAAATTAAAAAAAAATAGGCATGTCAAAGAAAATCAGTACTCCCTCTGTTTCAAAATACCATGTGCATTAGTTTCTTTTAAGTCAAATCTCTATCTCTAAACAGGGTTATAGAGAAAAATAATAATATCTTCAATACCAAATTAGTACCATTAAATTCACCATAAAAATAGTGAACTGAGCCTAGCTCAGATGGTTAGGTTTCATTTTTCTGGATTTATTTGAGACTTTTCGGTGATGTTTGTTCAGTGGGAGGAGACGTTCCCATCGACTACAACACGCCTATGGTGACTTCATCAATTTCAGTATCTCGAAGGTGGCTATATGGATAGGTGTGCGTGCTTACGTTCATAGGTGAGTATATGTGCGTGTATGTGGGCACCTACGATTGTATTATGTCAAAAACACACCATAAAATATATTTTTATATTTTGTTTATTTGGTATCGTACATGTTGATATTTCTCTCTATAAAATGGGTCGGACCTAGAAAGATTTGACTTTTGAAAAAATTAATACACCTTATAATGGAGAGAGTATGTCACAATCAACTAAATTTTATTATTGATATTTTCTCAAGCAGTGCTTTAAATATTGAAAATCTGATTAAAATGACATGAAATCAATGGCAATTTGCCAAATTAAATTCTAGGATATTTTAGCCAAGTGCTAAGCAACTTTTAAAGATAGTAGGTGGAGTAATGAAAACTTGACCTTTTTTTTGGTCCAATTTGTTGCCATTTCCATCAAACGCTGTTTATAAATATGCCAAGACGAGAAAGAAGTGACGTCAAACATAAAATATCCAACTCACCACGTGGCAAGAGCTTGCTGTCCATGGTGGCCAAATGTTTAGACAGCCGGCCTGCAGTACCGGTTACACACACACACAAAAAAATCCATTTTTTTAGGGGTAAAAAAGTCCAATCTGATCAGTGCAATACACACAACTACACGAGCACACACAGCACACGTAGGTCACAAACAAACACGTATTTTTCCATCTCTGGTCAAACAATAAAAAAGGCAATAAATAATTATATAGGAATTCTATGATTCTTATATAAAATTTTCCTTTGAAGTTCCCTGATTTGAAGTATTGGAATTTTTTATTTTTTTTTGCGGGGGAAGTATTGGATTTTTATTTCTATATGGGATTTGTTTCTTTTTTTGCGGGGTATATGGGATTTGTTTCTATCCTTCACATTTCAGAAGAAGAAAAGAATAGCTTATACCTTACCAAACAAAAAAATCCTGTGCTGTGTACCAGAGGAACATGCCATTTTATTTCCTGTATATGATTCTATGATACTCCTATTCTACGAAGGAAGAAGGCCTGAGCTTTCACCGTAGCAGCATCTCAGAGAATTAACGCATACGTTTATGTTGCACCGGCCGATCCGTCTCTCCCCCTATATATACGGGGTGCAACTGCGAAGAGCAAAACACCACAGGATAATTACCAGCAGATCATCATCATCATCACATTAACGCGCCGAGCTAGCTAAACGCGAAGCGCTAATGGCGATCGTTTACGTGCTTCTGGTGGCGCTGATCACCGCGGCGTCCCATGCGCCGCACGGCGCGCACGGCCAGACGTGGCACGGCGACCTCGCGGCGCTCGCCGCCGCCGGCAAGCTCCGCAGCGACCCCAACGCCACCCTGGCGGCCTCCACGGACTTCGGCAACATCACGGCGGCGCTCCCGGCGGCCGTGCTGTTCCCGTCGTCCCCGGCGGACGTGGCTGCGCTCCTCCGCGCCGCGCACACCACCGTGGCGTGGCCGTACACCATCTCGTTCCGCGGCCGCGGCCACTCCGTGATGGGGCAGGCCTTGGCCCTCGGCGGCGTGGTCGTCGACATGCCGTCCCTGGGCGGCCCGTCCTCCGCGGCGCGCATCAACGTGTCGGCGGACGGCCAGTACGTCGACGCCGGCGGCGAGCAGATGTGGATCGACGTGCTGCGGGCGACGCTGGAGCGCGGCGTGGCGCCGCAGTCGTGGACGGACTACCTCCACCTCACCGTCGGCGGCACGCTCTCGAACGCCGGCATCAGTGGCCAGACCTACCGGCACGGCCCCCAGATTTCCAACGTCCTGGAGCTGGACGTCATCACCGGTACGTACGCGCGCACGATATGGGCACCAGCATGCACCACGCTCACAAGCAACTCCCTCTCGCAAAGTAGTAGTTCCGTACCCCACACTGCAATGTTGCAAAAATGGCTAACTTGTTTTGGTGCAACTCGCAACCCGTAATCCGGCTGCGGCGTGGAATCACGTTCATCTTCTACACACACGGTAGTCTAAAAAAGGTGCCGGTAAAAAAATGGCAGTGAGTACTAATTAATGGATGGTTTAATACTACAGTGTAAATTGATAGTGGTAGTTACTACAGCTGACCAGCTGGCGGCTGCTGGGCCGGCCGGGCAGCCGGCGTCGACGTCTTTCAAATTTCAATAGATTTGCCGGCGGCCAACAACACGTTGACTTTGACATTTCCCCTCTGTGTTAAATTACTCCATTACTCTAACCGGCCCGCATGCACCTTTGCGTTGACACGGTGCAATTAACGCGCGTGCCGTGCGTGCAGGCTACGGCGAGATGCTGACGTGCTCCAAGTCGCTCAACGCGGACCTGTTCGACGCGGTACTGGGCGGGCTGGGCCAGTTCGGCGTGATCGTGCGCGCACGGATCGCGCTCGAGCCGGCGCCGACGCGGGCGCGGTGGGCGCGGCTCGTCTACACCGACTTCGCCACCTTTTCCGCCGACCAGGAGCGGCTCGTCGCGCCCGGGCCCGACGGCGCGTTCGGGCCGATGAGCTACCTCGAGGGCGCGGTCTACGTGAACCACAGCCTGGCCGCCGGGCTGAAGAACTCGGGCGGGTTCTTCACCGACGCCGACGTCGCCAGGATCGTCGCCGTCGCCGCGGCGAGGAACGCCACCACCGTGTACGTCATCGAGGCGACGCTCAACTACGACAACGCCACGGCCGCGTCCGTGGACCAGGAGCTCAGTTCGGTGGTGGCGACGCTGAGGCACGAGGAGGGGCTCGCGTTCGTGCGTGACGCGTCGTACCTGGAGTTCCTGGACCGGGTGCACGGCGAGGAGGTGGCGCTGGACAAGATCGGGCTGTGGCGCGTCCCGCACCCCTGGCTCAACGTGCTCGTGCCCCGCTCCCGCATCGCCGACTTCGACAGCGGCGTCTTCAAGGGCATCCTCCAGGGCACCGACATCGCCGGGCCCCTCGTCGTCTACCCACTCAACAAATCCAAGTACGCACTACGCGTCCATCGTGCATGCATGCATGCGATCCTGCATGGTATGTATCACGCACTTAACTGACACTGGCTCGGTCGTGGTTTCAGGTGGGACGACGGCATGTCGGCGGTGACGCCGGCGGAGGAGGTGTTCTACGCGGTGTCGCTGCTCTTCTCGTCGGTGGCCAACGACCTGAAGCGGCTGGAGGCGCAGAACCAGAAGATACTGCGGTTCTGCGACCTCGCCGGGATAGGGTACAAGGAGTACCTGGCGCACTACACGGCCCACGGCGACTGGGTCCGGCACTTCGGCGGCAAGTGGCAGCGCTTCGTGGAGATGAAGGACAAGTACGACCCCAAGAGGCTGCTCTCCCCTGGCCAAGACATCTTCAACCTACTCCTTTGAGTAGATGCAATTAGTTGTTACTACTTGTGGATTAACGTGTGGACAGTAACACAGCAGTTTAACTTTAATTTCCCGTTTTTACTCATGTAGTAGGTCATACGGTAATAATATGCTCTGTCGAACTTTAATCTCCACGTGTACCCGTTACCAATTAGTAGTAGTGCTGTAAGCAAAAGTGTGAACAGAGCTCCACCAATGTACACTTTGCCAGATAAATGTTTCATTTCAGCTCAGGAGCAGAAGAGGACTTTCGCATGTCTTGTTCCTTTGTTTGTTTGAGCGCTTTTATAAGATTGCTCCAACTTACTTACCTCCTAGGGGGTATAAGAGGAGTGTTTAGTCTGAGCAATCCATGACTGATCAAGGGTTTTGGCTAAATGAGCTTCCACTTTCACTGCAAAAAATGAGCATCCACTTAAGGCAAGTTATTTTGATGTGCTAAAACTGGAAGATTTTTAGTGGACTAATTGTCATTTTCTACTATAATATATTAGAGATCTTCCGCACTTTATTTCATACCATGAACGGGTCGTGGCAGCTAGAAGTATCTTTGTGCCTTTTGTTGTGCAGCCTCCAAAGCTAAGATATCGTGTTTGATAATGTTTGGTAGTCTCATATGACATCCATCCAGACCAGGGATTCGTACTCAAAGCATCTCATGTTTGAACATATCATATTTGTGATGAATTGTGTACATGACGTCTACCACGTCCATGTGACATGTCTACCCCGTCAAGCTCACTATTCAAAGTCAAACACCAAAAGTAGATACATGAAAAGCAAATTCTGATGTGTCCTATTCATAGCAAACTAGTCCCTCCATTCCTAAATATTTGTCTTTTTAGACATTTTAAATGGACTACCACATGCGGATGTATATAGACATATTTTAGAGTGTAGATTCACTCATTTTGCTCCGTATGTAGTCACTTGTTGAAATCTCTAGAAAGACAAATATTTAGGAACGGAGGAAGTAGTATTTTTGAAAACTCACAAATTTTATGAATGTTTTACTAATGGCATGTGAACTACTTTGAACATATAGTCTAGGAGCACATATTCATGCAGCGGGGTTGGTAGCAACGCATAAAAGATCATAACAGAATTAGTTACCCTTAATTAGCCTCACTTATTTTCTCACTCGTCGCCATCCTTAATGATGTATTGTATTATTAAGTTCCTTATTTGTGCACAATGGTCGTTGACACACTCTTACCGAACATGATGTAAGGTGTGTGTTAAAATATCTCTGTTTGTTGTTAAAAAAAAAAGACACCATGCAGACATTTAAGAATAATTGATTTCAAGGCGACTATTACACGTGGAAATATGTAACACATCTCTAAATCTAAAATATCATGCTCGCAAAAAGTATATCTAAAATTGCATATGATTTTGAAAATGTGTGTTAGAAATAATAATTAGCTTAGAATTAGGAACTAAGATTGGAAAGCAGAACTAATTTAGAATTAAGAACTAGGATGAAATACCAGTTGACCATTGAACCGCCGGATCCCTGTCACCATAGAAAAACAAATTTGTATTGGAGCAAGGATAAAATCAAACAAAATATGAGCCCAAGGGCAAATCCGGTGGCTAAGCTCGCTATTACAAAATCTCGGTCGACAACGCAAACAATTTAAAAATGGTCCGTCACACCTCATATTTTCATATAAGAGGTGAGAAGGTATTATATACTCTTACCTCTCATGTAAAAAGAGGAGGTAAGAGAGACCATGTGATGCGAGAAGGTAAAAGTTACTCAGACCCACTAAGAATCAACGGCCTGGATCTATTATATACTCTTACCTCTCAAGTGAAAAGGAGGAGGTAAGAGAGACCATGTGACGTGAGAATGTAAGAGTTACTTACACCCACTACTTAGTGAAATCAACAACTCAGATCTATTATATACTCTTATCTCTCATGTGAAAAGAGAAGGTAAGAGGGACCATGTTAAAATTTGCCAGTGTAAAATGCATAGTTCCTCTTGTGTACCAAAGTAGTGAAGAAAAGTAGGCGTGTGAGCGACGACCACCTCTCCAACAAAAAAAGTTTAGGGTTTCTCTGCCTCCCGCCGGCGCCGCTGCCAGTTCACCTCGTCTCCGATGGCCCTAGGGCCATGGAGACGCGGTCCACCTGGCCCTTGCCGACGAGAGGGATCTTACTCCGTTTTTACGTGTTTTTGTGAGTTCATTTAGGGTGTGTGTCCTGCTTGGGAAGACGAGGCGGTGGTGGCTTCCTGAAAATGGAACAAGGGCTCTCCCGGCATAGCCCCTGTTTTGGTGATGTGTCCAGCTTCGTCAGAGGGTGTGTGGGGGTGCGTCTCCGACGGATCTCGCGAGATTCCGTCAGTGCTGGTCTTCAGTGGATCTGTTTGGATCCGGTATTTTGTTTTTCCATCTTTGTTTACATGTCTATAGGTTGTTTTCTTTCGATCTATACTTCTTTTCATCGGCAACGGGTGTTGTATCATGCACTGGTTTTGGTGGGTCCTAGCTCGACAACTTCCGACTGTCTACTAGAACAAGTTTGGCCCGACTCCGATAAGGGAAGGCGATGACGGTGACGCGCCTTCTACTCGCTCCAGTGTTTGTAGTCGTCGCTAGGTGGTCTACAGACATAAAATGTATTTTTTTGTTGTTTTTGTGTTCTTCGTACCTCCATGGCATGATGAACACGTCGAAAGTTTCATGGAAAAAAAGTGGGCGTGTGATGGAAAGAACATGCAAGGCGACAACTCACGCCACGTTCGTTTGCTTGACAAAGGCGGGCACCGTCATTTGCAACGGACGTTTCGTTTTTACTGAAATAAAAAAGGTCCAACTGTCTTTTGCTTCGAGATTTAGCACAGATTGAGACGTGTTTCCTAAAACTGCACTGGCATCTGCTTAAAATACGAGGCCAAATGGCCAACACACGATTAACTATCATTTGACGCCGATAACAAGATAGGCTCCTCCAGCTCAAACAAGAAAGAAAGAAAAAAGATAGGCACCTGCTAAAATCGCACACAACTTGAGACTGCAGCTTCAGCTTGACGCCGCGCTAAGTTGAGTCGACAGAGATGTAACCCTGTCGGCCGGGAATTAGCCACACGTTACCATTGGTGCGAATGAGTTTACTACCACCACTATCCGCGCGCGGACAGCCAGGCCAATTTGTCAACAGTGGAGCACCGCAGCATCGGCATGTAAATGGGGGAGAGGTACGTGCATGCTCAGGTTCTCTGGAACTCCAGCTGCTGCCCGGCCGGCCGCTATAAGTAGAGAGCGGTTCGGCCAGAACTTTTGCTTGTTTTCGCAAGCACTTGCCAGATGCATGCACCGGGCCGCTGACTAAACCACGTTGTGTACGTATATTCAGGAAGCAAACTAGCAAAGGTAAACAGCACTGCTGACCTGAATAAAAGGCGGTCGGTCATATACCAGACTAGATTAGCATCGGTGACCATCGCACATACGGAAGCCCATGCCAGAGCCTATCATTGGATCGCAGGAACTAGAATTGTTAGGCAGCGATGCTTCAGGGCAAGCATGGTTGAGGCCTCTTAGTAAAGCTAGTGTAGATGCTTGCCATACCGTTGTGCTCTGGTACGTAAATGGAGCAAACACTTGTTTGGACGCCACACCATACCATATATAAGTTGACGTCATGGATGGCACGCAACTCAAGCGGGCCGTGGTAGTTTATGGCGCGGCGGCGTTGGGAATTGGATCGATGGATTACTCCTCGTCAGGCTTCCAAGACCGTGCATGGGGAAATGACGACTTGTTATTTTACTTGGATGGCATAATAATTTACAGACATTACAGCGGTGGAGCTAGCTCAGCTCAGCGCATGCATGAGCATGATCGACTATGCATGTCTAGCTGACGTCTATGACAGCGCCGGTGTTGGGGGACTCCTTATCCTCGTCCCGGGGCGCCCACATCCACACCTTGAGCTCGCCCGCGCCGTCTCCAGTGAAAAGAAGCCTCGATGGTCCTTGGGCGAGTTCGATGGTCTTCACTTCTGTTTTGGAGGAGAGCGTGCCAATCTCCTCGAACCTGAAAGACGGGAACAAGTAATTGTAGGTTACTGGAAAGGAGGAAGCAAAACAACTGACAGCGTGTTCTGAATGGCACTCACGATGGCAGGCCCAACAAGCGGACGCAGTTGCTCTTGTGGAGGGAGCAGAGCAGAACCGGCGTCTTTCCCGGACGATGCATGCCAAAGAGGGTGCGTACTCCCTGCAACGGAGGGTGGATGCAGGTTTAGCAACACTTGAAACCAACAACTGATTAACACTGTTGGAAAGGAAGTTCAGGAACAAACCATTGCCCAAGAACCATAACAAAGCAGAAAGTTTATCAAGGACAATAGCATCATGCACTACATCTCAACAGAGCTTACGAACGTACACTGACAAACATGCTTCCAGGAAGGGAAATATTGAGAAAGCCAATAACCGGACATAGGGACATTCAGACTTTCGAAGAACAAATTGCTCTGGTGTTGCATCTAGTTCCTGCTGTATGACGGTTCCTAACAATTCTGACGTTGCCGGTACATTTTTATTTGGTACTCCCTTGCTAACTCTTCAGTCAGGGAAACAGATGAGCTCAATGACGTTGCTGATACATGTCTATCTGATACTCCCATACTAACTCTTCAGGGAAACAGATGAGCTCAGCAGACTGATGGGCTGATGGCAGCCATCTAAAGTTCCCAAGAAACAGAGCTTCTATTAGGCTCAAACCCTTTATCTGCTACTCAATAGCAGCAGATAAATTCCCAGCATACTAGGAAGAACACCGACTACGTGCCAAACATGTAACAAAGGCCATACTGTGCAAACTATAATGCTTGACCGAATGCAGATGGAGTCACAACTTCCAGAAATGGAGACCTTCATGCACCGACGGCAATAACATCAGAAGATTGATCCAGCGATAATAACTATGAGAAAAGATCTTCCATTTGATTTTAGACAAGTTACTGTGACTACTGGAATTGTA